GTTGATGCAAAGATATGCTCAAGGATGCCACTGCCACCCTGCTTGTGGCAGTGAAAAAAGACATTACTAGAAAATGTACTGCAACAGTTTCTTTTTTTTTTTTTCTTACTTTGTTGTTGTTTTGTTTTGATAGGGTCTTATTATATAGCCCTGAGTGACCTGAAACTTGCTTAGGCATCTAGGTAGCCTTGAATTCATAGCCTCCAATGGCATACATTACTACATCTGGATTTTTCTTTTTATCTTGTTTGAGAGAATGTTTCATTATTGTATTCCTAGCTGGTCTCAAGAGTTTTTTTGCTTTTCAAATGCTAAGATTACAAGCACTTGTCAAACCCAGCTACATAGTTGTTTTTCCAATATCAAGCACCTGCTGAAAAGCCTACGGCAGGCGCACTAGGCCCTCCCTGCCTAACCCCAGGTCTGAGGCTATGGCAGGAAGGCCTGCACTAACCAGGACTGAGGCTATGGCAGGAAGGCCTGCACTAACCAGGACTGAGGCTATGGCCGGAAGGCCTGCACTAACCAGGACTGAGGCTATGGCAGAAAGGCCTGCACTAACCAGGACTGAGGCTATGGCGGGAAGGCCTGCACTAACCAGGACTGAGGCTATGGCGGGAAGGCCTGCACTAACCAGGACTCAGGCTATGGCGGGAAGGCCTGCACTAACCAGGACAGAGGCTATGGCGGGAAGGCCTGCACTAACCAGGACTGAGGCTATGGCGGGAAGGCCTGCACTAACCAGGACTGAGGCTATGGCGGGAAGGCCTGCACTAACCAGGACAGAGGCTATGGCGGGAGGCCTGCACTAACCAGGACAGAGGCTATGGCGGGAGGCCTGCACTAACCAGGACTGAGGCTATGGCAGAAAGGCCTGCACTAACCAGGACTGAGGCTATGGCAGAAAGGCCTGCACTAACCAGGACAGAGGCTATGGCGGGAGGCCTGCACTAACCAGGACTGAGGCTATGGCGGGAGGCCTGCACTAACCAGGACTGAGGCTATGGCGGGAGGCCTGCACTAACCAGAACTGAGGCTATGGCGGGAAGGCCTGCACTAACCAGGACTGAGGCTATGGCGGGAAGGCCTGCACTAATCAGGACTGAGGCTATGGCGGGAGGCCTGCACTAACCAGGACTGAGGCTATGGCGGGAGGCCTGCACTAACCAGGACTGAGGCTATGGCGGGAGGCCTGCACTAACCAGGACTGAGGCTATGGCGGGAGGCCTGCACTAAAATAGCAGGGCTGTCTCCCACAGCAACGACACCTAATGAGTTAGTACAGGTAAATGTGAAACAGAGTAACAATACAACGACATTTATGTTGGTTTTCCAAAAAACTTGGGCAATGAAGGGCAAGTAGTTACTGCATGAAAAATGGGACTGAGTCTACAAAGGCAGCTAACCATACCAGAGACACATCTTAAAGAAGCATACGCTCAAAACCACTTTCTGAATTCCTATTCTCTGTTATGAAATATTCATGATCAAAACATAACACTTTATCACTTGAGATTTATAAATGGGAGGGAGGACAGGCGTGTAACAAATAGATAAAAACAAAATACCTGTAACAGAGAGACTAGAATTATGGGTGGGAGAGCTACAATGTTAAGATAGGGTGACAGGGAAACTCCCATTCAAAGTCCTGCCTGTAGTGGCTCTGAAGAAGTACCAGCCAAAGACTCGGGACCAGCCGCCCTGAATAATGAGCAAATAGCTTAGAGGATGGTGGGATGAGAACAGAAAGACAGGAAAATGGTAAGTTTGCTGGGCTGCGGAGATTGGATGGACAGTTAGGGCATGCATTTTAAGGGGATCTTTGCTGGGTCCAAGCAGCCTGTAGGGACTAAGGGCAGGACTAATGAGACTGAAGTTTGGAAGGAGTCTAGATAAGTGAGTGGGAGGGTTAGGAAGAGAGAAGGTATGTTGTGAATAGAGGGCCAGAGAACTTGGGTTTTTTTTTTTTTTTGTTTTTTTTTTTTTTTTTTTTTTTAACAGCTGGATGGATGGAGAAGCCAGGGAGAATGGGTTTCAGAGGGAGATTACCAGCTTGCCTTGGATGTACTTGCCATGGATATCTATAGGCCACCCAAGTGGAAAGACAGCCTAGGTGTGTCCAGACATGACTTCAGGAAGCACTGCTATGGTTGGGTGTGTCTCTGGAATCTCTGTGTTGGAAACTTAATCCCTTGATCATTGTTAATGTATTAGAAATGGAGCCTTTGTAGGCAAGCAGGATTAGATAAGGTCACAAGGATGTGACCCCCCATAATAGCCTGAGTGGCTTTGTAATAAGTGAGATTTGCAGTTTCATAATGGGATGTCCTTTGTTGCCTTCACCAACAAGAGCCTTACCAGGTATGGCCCCTTGACCTTTACTCTATAGCCTCCCAGCTAGGACTGTGGAGAATCTATAACGACACAGTCTATGGTATTCAGTAGTAACAGAAAATGGATTATGACAGCAAGTCACGGTGGTAAACTCTCTAGACACAATGAGGAAGGCAGACCTTTTGGCACTATCAATTCACTGGAGACTGATACAGGCAAGCTTAGTGGAAGAGGCACCAGATAAAAGGGATGGCCTGGAGACGTATATGCTCCCTCTGGGACCGGGATGGAGAAGTGGGGGCAGTCTTGAGAGGGGAGTGGGGTCAAGGGAGGAAATGTCTGTTGCCCTTGACAAGGTGGCATAGGGCAGTCTTGGGCCAGGCAGAAGAGATGCCCTTGTACTACAGAATGGCTGGGTAGCAGAGCTACAGGACAGAATAGGCAGGGCACAAGAAGTTGGGGGGCAATGAGAATGGTGTTTTTTTCCTTAAATATACATATACATACATACATACATACATATATACACACATGTATATATATATATTCTCTTATGTGTGTGAATGTTCAGTCCATATGTATATACATGCTCCACATGTGTGTTTGATGCAGAAGGCACATACATATATGCCTGTTGCCAGAGGCATCAGATCTCTTAGAACTGGAGTTACACAGATGGCTAAGAAATACCATGTGGGTACTGGGAAAAGAACATGGGTCCTTTATAAGAGCAACAACTGCTCTTAACCACTAATCCAACTGCCTCCTCCCCAGTAGGTTTTTAAAAGTAAAAATGAAATTCTTGGTTTATGAGTGCTATATAACCAGGACTAGGTTTGGTATGTGAGCCATAATTTTCCAGCCTCTGAGCTAATGAGGCAACTGAGATGATACTGGTGACTACTGGCTGATAAAAAGCTCCCATTAAATGCTGGTCAGGAATACCACATGGGATGGACCTGGCTGTAGGGTTATAGGTTTGCTACTAGCAGCTCTGTGGGCTCAGGTGCAGAGCAGGCAGATGATTTCTCTCGAATTATGGTTTTGCCAAGCAGATAGTGAATACAGGGAAAGTGAGACAGTGTCTAAAGGGGAAAACTAATGATGGCCACAGGGAAAGGAGAATGAGGAGAGTGTGTGAAGGCTTTGAAGGCCCTATAGACTGGGGATTTGTTGGACTTTAAGTTCTAAAGACAGGAAGAACCAGCAGCAGAAAGTGGCTGTGGAATACCCATGAGGAATGGGGACAGGGGAAGGAATGAGGAAACCATCGACAGTGCCAGATGGAGAAGGGGGTATACAGAGGTAAAAGAATGACAAGGTGCATATAGATCTAAAGGAGGCCTTAGCTCAAGACAGGGTTTCCAGAGAGGAGAGAGAGGCTAGCAAGGGTCAATGATGAGCAGCAAGGACACTGGCCTCTTGAAAGCCCAATGTCAAAGGGACATGGGGAAGAGGAAAAAGGAGCTGCAGGGCAGCAACACTTGCAAAGAGCCAGGGCTCAGCCTGAGCAAGATGGATGGGAACACATCAGCCCTAGGAGTACTTGGTAGGCATGGTGAGTCCTGAAAAGCACCAGGGAGACATTAGGGGGGTGAAGAGAAGAGATGAGGTCTGGCAAAGGCATAGGCCAACTCAATCAAGAGTTGGAGGAGGGCAGGGACCCCAGATGCCAGGACTGAGGAAGAAAGAAAGGCAACATTTGATTCCTGCTGACATGTTCCAATGGACAGCGCAAAGTCAAGGCCAGCAACTGGCCATTTCTTGAACTCTACAGGTTCTCACATGTTACAGACATTAAGAAATAAAATCAGATACCAGGAACCTCTCACTTTTGGCTTTGGAAGTCAAGGTTACATGTGTCCCCCCACTTCTTCCAGGCAGAGGATTCAGTAGGCACCTTTCCACCATCCAGCTGACACACTGTCCTTGGTACCGGCAAGACTTAAAATACATCCGCTGAACTAAGTTATTAGTGCATCAGTGAAAACTCACCATGTGCTCAGCTCTAGAGCTTATCTGAGATGAAGCTTAACTTTCATGAAGTAAACACATAAAACACAATCAATCAACTATATAGAATTAAACCACACGAAGATCTTAGTTACACAGTATCAAGAAGGACACAGATCCATGGTGGCAGGACAGGCAAGGAACAGACAAAGGAGGAGGCAGAGGCTCATCAGAGACAATGTCTCTCATCAAATGACCCAGCAAGGTCTTCAGTGCAGGAACCTAGCATCCCCATCCTTTCTAAACTTGAAGAGGTGCTGACTAGCTCCAGGGAAATGTGAGACACTATGTTTAGTATCCAATTCACTTGAAGTAAACATCTGATTCTAATCACACTGGACCATACAGCTTGCCAATGGGTTCTGAAACTCTTAGTATGCTTGTTTAAACTGGATAAATCCTTGCACAGCTCTCAGTAGCTAGTGCTCTTCACTCCCACTCCTCTCATTCCCTGCTTTTGGCAGTGATTTCCAGGATGGAAATCACTAGTTTCTACAACATGGATGAGTAACTCAGTTATGACTCAGCCATGGAAGATTTAATTTGAAACTTTCTGTGTCTTTTTAAAGAAGAGTAACACCACCCCTAGACCTTTGCTTTTCTATGTTCATTTGGCCACCTGGTGTGTCCCTGACCTTTCCCCAACCTTTCACCTGGACTTGGGTCCACAGGAACCTCTGGGACTTTGGGGCCGGTGCGACGCCAAGGGCATGGCTCCTTGCCTTGTTCAGTCTGGGAGAGGACCTCAGGTTTGGAGATGGCATAGTCTGAGGAAAGACAGGAGGTTAATTTTTGCCATGTTTTCATCAGAGCTGGAGACAGGCAGCTGAAAAATTGTTAGCAGCCTAGAATCTAAGTCTTGACTGGTACAACACAGCAGTTCTCATGGTAGGCATTCTGCTGCAAAGTCTAGGGACAATCTGGGGTAGAATCTAGGGGGTGGGAGAGGTGTTATTTCATACTCAGCTGTGCATATAAAAGACCCCACCCCCACAGTCATCTGTCCACAGGGCTAGCAGTGCTAGGATACAGGGCCACATTAAGTAGCAGCGTGTCTGCAAAGTAAAAACAAACAAACAAACAAAAACAAACAAACAAACAAAAAAAACATAAGGTGAGTGTACTCACTCACAATCCCACCAAACACTCCTAACTAGAAAGTAAGGCCAAGAAGAGGGGTCTGGGCCTTTCAGGACAGTAGCCCCTGGGGCTGGGGCTGGGGCAGCAGGGCTTTGGGACACAGAAAGAATACCTGTTTTGAGAGGCAAGGTCTACTTATTCTCCACAGATCCTGTGATGGGACACATAAAAGCTACCCAATTGACGGTAAAAGAACAATTCCTTCGCTAAAGGAGAGTTGATTAAAAACACACTGGAGAGATATGGCACCAGTCTCGAAAAAAATCAAGATGCCAGTATTCTGGGTCTGGCGAGGACAGAGGTTAGCACTGTCCTTCATCTGCTATTCTACCAAACAGAAGTAAGTATCAGATACTTCACCTCACAATATGAGAAGAGAAGGATGGCTAGGTGAAGGAGGAGGAGTTTCTTTACTCATAGTATCTAGGGATGTACACATAACTGACATGAAAACAACTCTATCACAAAGAGGGGTCTGGGAACTCTAAAACCCCACCTTACAGAGGAGTGTGTCAAGCCTTACCCAGGGAGACCAGTGTCTCATAGTTGCCCCTCATTACGTGCTTGTAGAGTTCCTTCTGCCAGTCCTCCAGTTTGCCCCACTCCTGCTCAGAAAAATACATGGCCACATCATCAAGGGTCAAAGGAATCTGAAACCAGTGTCACACTCACTCACCCACATGCTTGCAGGCATGGACCCTAGAGCTCCCCATCCCAAGGGCCCCAAAAGTTACCTTGGGGACCTCGCCCTTGCTGCCTGGGGGCAGCCGCAGAATCCAGAAGTTCCTGTTACGCAGCAGATTCTCCACATTCTCCAGCCTCCGCTGCAGCAGCCCGTACTCCTGCAGGAGAGTCCCCAGCACGGCCCACTTGCCCTCCAGCTGGTTGCTGAACTCCACAGCTGTCTTTTCACAGTCAGCCAGCTTTTTCTCTGCCATCCCAGTTCGACCTTCTAGAGAGAGCAGTCGAGCAGCCTGTGATTCGATCTTTCTCTCCATGGCCTGAATTGTAGCTGCCATTGTCCATGGAGAAATCTTTGAGAAAGAAGAAAAACCAACATTGTCCTTTGCACTGTTGCACTGAGCCTTCTCTCCTAGGCCATGAGGGGAACCAAGCTGGGAGTGGGAGCTCATGTATGTGGCAAGTAGGGACATCCTATATCATGCACCAGATCTTTGCATAGTGACAGCTTCTGTGGAGATAAAGATCTGGCCTGAGGCTGGCAGGTGCCTTGCTCAGGACCTCACAGCACACTGTCAGATTCCTACCTTGGTGTTTTCCACCCTCTTCAGTTTTCTCCTGTGTATGCCTATATTGAACATCTCTTCTGGAAGACACTGTGTCTTTTCACAGCACAGTGCTAACTAAACAAATGGTACACACACAGTGTGATTTTGCAAAATAAACAGTGACTTAGCATTGCTGGGGTGTTTTAGTGAAGAAATGATAAACTGCAGATTTACTAGGGCCCAGACTGCACTCCTGTCACAATCACACAGGAACTGCCTGATGATGACCCAGCAAAAACTCCAGCTGCTTCAACAGAGAGGCACAAACAAGGGGGTTGCTTAAGTGCATCTCATGCCCCCTCTTAACAGATAAATGGCCAATTCCCTTTCCTCTAGGACGATCTGATTTGGCCCCTTCCTAATTGTCCTCCCCTGTGAGCTAAAATTACCATTATTGCCAATTTTAACCAATCAAAGTTATCTTGTTTTTGTGATAAAGTCTCACATGAACCAGGGTCTCCTACAACTGGCTAGGTAGCATAGGATGGCCTTGAACCCTTGATCCTCCATGCCTTCATCACTCTAAGTCCTGAAGTGAAAAGTGTGTTACTATGCCTGGAATTACACCACCTGAACTCCCTGCAAGGTACAAATCAGGCACAGATATGAGCTGTCCTGAGATCTGCAATATACTCTAATCTGATGAGGAAGGTACAGTCATACTTTTACATGTGCAAACAATCACAAGCCTGATATGTTCCTGTCATTGGGAATGGAAGAAGCTTAAGTGATTTCCCAATGGGGATAAAGAGCTCATTTTGGGTGGGAGTGGGAAGAATTCCTCCATGTACACAGGACCAAATTAGAGATCCCCAAATGGGTGCCACTTCTGGTCAGTGTCTGAAGACAGAAGTTCCTTACATTTTAGAAGAATATGGGGAAAAAAAGAAGGTAGATGACTACTTGTAAAGTAAAAGTGATTTCCAGGAACTAGTGTGGACTCATTTGAGTTGCTGGTTATCAGAATGTGAGATGACACATCAGAAAATGCCTCTGACCAGAGGCAGAAAAGCTCAAGAGTTTCTCAGGCTGTATAAAAGGTGGGTTACTAGGTCTGACTGAGGACTTTTCAGTGGGTCTCAGAAGATGGGTTCTGATGGGCAGAACTGTTCCAAAGGAAAAACTGTTGTGGGAGGGTAGTTCTGGCCTCTTCTTCCTCTTTAGGGCCAGCTCTGTTTATTTCAGCAGTATCCTTGTACTTTGCCACCATTCCCTCTGCTACAATCTGTGTGTTACACAAAAGGGCATCTGCACTAACATCTATCTCAGTGATGTTATTCTTGTTTAACACCTGAACAATGAGTAGGGTTTTTTGTTTTTTGTTTTTTTTTTTTTTTTTTGCTTGTTTGAACTATTTTTATGGTGCCTATGACCTTTGAACCGTGTAGTGGCTGTGCTCTGCTGTAGTCTAGTACTTTGCTAACTCAAAGGGAACGTGGAATAGCCAACTGTGAAACAGGTAGTGAAGCAAAAAACTCTGAGCTCAAGAGCATGGTCTAAGAGGATGCCAAATCCCTCCACTGTTCCCCACCCACATGAAGTGCAGACCTTCCAGCCCCTTCCAACTCTGCAGCCTCATAACCAAAACCATCTCTCCAGGCTTGTAGACCCGTCTTGTACTGTCCTGTCTCCGTGTCTTGCCTCTCTTTGCCCAAGTCCTATGAAACATTACTTAATTCAATTCACTGAAGCACAGAATACCTGGCCAGGCAGGAGAAACACGGTCTGTTAAGAACCTGCATTCGAATTTCTGTTTCCACCAGGTCGCTATACAACCTTTCAGTTCGACCATATGGCTACTCGTGTACCTGTCTGCTTTCCTTATCACAGTCAATGAATTGTGAGCACTGTCTTCCCACACTTTCTCGCCAAGATCTCGGCAAGTTAACTTCACTAGGCCGCCAGCTTTTCTTTCCTACCAAATAATAACTATTCTACCAAATAGTAACTACCCCACAGGTTTGCAGTGCGGGCAAAATCATGCCTAAACCGGGCTGAGTACAGCGCCAGCCTGGCTGGACAAATGGGAGCAGCCCTCGCGCGCCGCCTGAGGAGGGCTGGGCACTTAGTGGGTGCTCAGTGTCTGCAGGACCGACGACAGATACCTCCCAGGTGCCACCAGGCCGCTGGGGGGAGCTGGGGGAGGGAAGCACCAGCCCTGGCGCTGAGGAAGGAGCCCGGCCCGGGGACGCGCAGACCGGGAACTTGGCGCGGGTCGGCCTCCGGAGCGCGGACGGCGGTTCCCGGCGCCCGGCTCCACCCGGTCCGGTAGGCCCCGGAGGACCTCGCGGCCGCTTGCCGCAGCCCCAGGACCCGCAGGCCCGGTCTGGCCCGGAAGCCCTCCTGGGCCCTGCGGCCGTGCTGGGCCCCGGCCTTCCGGGGCCCGAGGCCGCACGGGCCAAGCGCGCGGGCCGCCCTTACCGGAGCCGCGGCCGCCTCGGCCATGGCCCTGCGCTGTCCTGCCCGGCGCGGAGGAAGTCGACGCCGCGGCGCGCGGCCCCACGCAGGCCCGGCCGCCGGGTCCTCTCCGCCGGCAGCGCCGCTGCCTTCCCCGCCGCGCTCCTCGCAGGCCGGCCTCCCGCCGCTCCGCCCGCAGTCGCACAGCCACCGTCAGCGCCCGGCCACTCCACACTGCATCCTGGGAGCCGGCGCCGCGGCCAGGCCGACGAAGGCCCGTGAGGCTTCCTGGAGGCAGCGCGGCGGCACAGCTCCACCTGCAGCTCGAGCGGCGAACGGCAGCGCCGGCACCCGCCCGCCGCCGCGCCCGGCCCCGCCCTTCTCACGAGGCCCCGCCCCAGCCGAACTCCAGACCACGCCCCCGAGCGTCGCTCCGCCCCTCGCAGTCCTGTGGCGCTAGCGGTGGAACCCGAGGGACTGTGCACCAGAAATGTCAACTCAGCAGTGGCAACCTGTTTTGGCTGTATAAAACTTGGGCTCATGGCTTCGGTGGGCAATGTGCACTTCTGGCTCGGTCATTTCTGCAACTGGCCAGCAATAGCACGCCTATCTTTGCCTTGAAATGGAATTAATACTTCCAACAACAAAAGATAGCTTGATAAGTCACAGTAGGCATTGTATAGGATTTTCTATAATATATAGTATAACAAACATTTAAATGACATGAAAATATGGAATTTTCTATAATGTATGTATTACAATAAACATTTTTAATGACGTATAAAATGGAATAAAATGCTATCGTTTAAAATGTTTTGAATGGAGCTGGAGGGACATCCCAGCCACTCACAGCACTTGCTGTTTTTGCAGAGGGCAGGGGTTTGGTTCCCAGGACCCATATGACAACTCATAACTGTCTGTAAGTAAGCCCAGTTTCCGACCCCCCTCCTGTGATGTACCTGGACACCACGTACACACCAAATGATACTGATTATATGAATAAATATAATATATAATCAGTATATATATATACATATGAAATATATGTATGCATACACACACATGCACACACACATATAGAGAGAGTAGTGTGGGACAATTTCATTTTGGTGTTAAAATGTGCATATAATAGGATGTGTGTTATGTGTATTATCTTCATCTAATGTTCATATAAAATTTTATGTCTAACAAAGTTTAGGCAGGTTTGGAAGCATATACATTAACACAGTGTCTAGTTTTATGCTAATAGAGAGGCCACAGATTGGGGGCATTTCCTAACTTTTTCAATTCATATGTTTGTTTTGTAATAACAAGGGAAAGAAGAAAAAAAAATAAAATGCAAAATTCCACCAGAAGCCTGGTGTGGAGCCCTCGTGTAACACCAAAGACGTTTTGTGTTTCAGAATTGCCATTGGTGCCAGTCCCCAAGCAGGAACCTGAAAGCCATGGACTAGTTAATGGCAGAAATATTTTTGTTTTAGCTGTTGGTTACTTATTTTATAATTTTCTTTTATTTTTGACTATGTATGCATTTGTCTGTATGTAAATATGTGTACTCACATTCGGGTGTGGGGGGAGACCAGGGGTTTCATCCCTAGGAACAACCTGAGAACAGAACTTTTGTTCTCTGCAAGGGCAGTAGACACCTCTTAATCACACACACACACACACACACACACACACACACACACACACACACAGTGTGGCTAGTTTTATGTCAACTTAAAATAAGCTATAGTTGTCTTAGAGAAGGGACCCTTAATGGAAAAAAACATGCCTCCAGAAATTTGAGCTATAAGCAGACAAGCCTGTAGGGCATTTTCTTAATTAGCAATGATGGAAGAGGGCCCAGCCAGTTGTGGGTGGTGTCATCCTTGGGCTAGTGGTCCTGGGTTCTATAAGAAGGCAAGCTGAGGACCGAGCCCATAAGCAGCTATCCTCCATGGCCTTTTTCTATCAGCACCTACCTCCAGATCCCTGTCCAGTTGATTCTGATTTCCTTTGATGGTGAACTGTGATGAGGAAGACACAACAAGCCAAACAAACCCCTTCCTCTCCAAGTGTTTAATCACAGCAGTAGTGACCTTAAGACACTGATGAGTGAGATCTTAACACTCCCCTCATTTTCTGATCAGCCTGTAGGGGTGTGAGAAGAGATGGAGTCATTACAATGCACTTTTCTTAGTGTGTAAAAATTGAATTTCTTTTGAGGACTGCCTTGGGTGAACCCTTACTAATATTTGGGGAGACTGGTGCCCCAAATCTAATTTTCCTCTTTTCCTGCTAACAGCTGTGTTGAGCTCTCCCAAGTCTTGGGATTTATTGCCTCTCAAACCCCTGACATCACTTACCTTTTGGAGTCAATTCTTCAAAGGGTGAAGTTCATCTCACCCTTACTATAGGAACAGCTCTGGCATTAGGCTCCAGCTCCTTTCCTATTGTTTTCTTTTGGTAGTTCTTCCAAGGAGGGAATTCCTTCCCCTTTGAACACATCCCCTTTGCTGGGGTGGGCCTATGTGTGGGAATGAAGTTTGATAATCTGGAGGGAATTTGATAAGGAAAACACCTGAGTAGACTACATCTGTAAAGGTAGGTGCAAAAGAAGGTGCTCCTCAGCCTATGCTGTTAGCTTTGCTGTAAAGTGCTGGGTTAAAAAAAGCAACGCAAAGGCAACTCTCTACTGAAGAGCTATACCCACATCTCATTCTGACTTTCCTCAGCTTTTCTTTGAGAAACCCAGAGCCATGCTCTCAGGTGTGTTTTAGTTCCCCTGAGTATATAACCTTCTCCTGACGTTTGTGTTTTAGCCCACATTAAGTATCTATGTATGCATGCATATATGTATATGGCTAGAGAGATTGGCTCAGCAATTAAGAGCACTGGCTGCTCTTTCAGAGGACCTAGGTTGAGTTCCCAGCACCGACATGGTGGCTCACAACTGTCTCTAATTCTAGTTCCAGGGGATCTGATGCCCTTAATTCCTACCTCCAAAGATACCAGGCACACATATGGTGCACATACCCATATGCAGGCAAAATGTTCATGCACATATAAATAAATCTAAAAAATTAAAGTCAGCAAATACTTTAGAACAAGTCCTTCTAGCCTGAGAGGTAAATCCCAAGGGCCTCACAGTGGTCATGAGAATATAAACAAATAATCACACAGAATGACCAACAACTGGGCCATAGCTTCAACTATGGGCATCAGCCCTATATGGGGCTATGTAATTGAATGTGGGAATCCTGAAACATTTGTCTACAGTGAAAGCTTTCTGAGTGCATGATGACCCAAAAGTAATTCAGGGAGCCCTGAGAATCTAGAAATCTGCAGCTTCAGCCATTACTGCCAGAGATTCTTGATCAAGTCAGCCAGTTTCCCAGGGGTTTCTTTGTCTCATGTGTAAGATGGTCACCCTAGAGATTTAATTGAATCTGCCTTCCTTTTTATGTTAGCTTGCCCCCCCCTTTTTGAGACAAAATTGTTCATGAAGTAGAATATGTTTGTGTGACTTTTGTTTATGTTGCATTTGTTTAATTCTGTGAAGCTGTGTTACTGTGACTGTCTAAAACATCTGATTGGTCTAATAAAGAGCTGAATGGCCAACATCCAGGCAGGAGCAAGGAAAGGCAGGACTGGCAGGAAGAGAAAATAAATAGAAGGTGGACCTAGGAAAAGGAGCAGCAAGAGAACAAGGCGAGGAGAACATCAGGGCCAGCCCACCAGCCAGCCCACCAGCCAGCCCAGCCAGCCCAGCCAGCCCAGCCAGCCTGCCAGCCCACCAGCCAGCCCAGCCAGCCCAGCCAGCCCAGCCCTCCCAGCCAGCCCAGCCAGCCCAGCCAGCCCAGCCAGCCCAGCCAGCCCAGCCAGCCCACCAGCAAGCCCAGCTGGCCCAGCCAGCCTGCCAGCCCACCCAGCCAGCCCAGCCAGCCCAGCCAGCCTGCCAGCCTGCCAGCCAGCCTTGGAATAAGAGTGAAAGCAGGCCTTTAATCTCAGCACTCTAGCGCCAGAGGCAGGTGGATCTCTGTTAGTTCAAGACCAGCCTGGTTTACAAGAACTAGTTTCAGGAAGAAAGATAAAAGCCCAGAGGGAAACAGACAATTTAATTTAAGAAAAGCTGACAAGCAAGAAGACAAGTTATGGCCAGGCATTTATAAGTAATAATAACCCTCTGTGTGTGATTGATTTGGGAGTTGGTTGGTGGGTCCCTCAAAAAAGCCAAAAGAGTAAGACTGAAAACATCATTCAATACTTTCTATGCAGTCCTGGTTGTCCTGTAACTTGATATGTAGATCATGCTGGCCTGATACTCACAGAGATCCCCCTTCAGAGCTCTGGGGTTAATGGCTGTGCCACCTCACCTAGGAAATACTAACTTGCTTTACTTCTGGACCCAGCTGAAGCCCAGCACTTCCTCAATCCTTCTACTATGGGTTCCTTAGACATTTGAAAATTAAAAGCATTTTATATGTATGGGTGTTTTGCCTGTATGTAGGTTTGTGCATCACATGTATGTTTGCTGCCTGCAGAGGCCAGAAGAGATCCTCTGGACCTGGAGTTATAGTGTAAGGAAGGAAAAATACAGCCTAACTCTCCAATGACCACAGGAAGCTAAAAGTTTAGAAATACTATCTTAAAATGCCCTAAACCCTCAAATTCCAGACCCTGTCCTCTGCCAGTAAATAGGCAAGGTCACACTCCTTGCTGTTTTAGGCAGACAGGCCCTTAAGTACGTAATATTGGCCTAGTAAGATAACAGAAAATGAGCTAACTAACCACTTGTCTGACTTCGTAAACTGCTTGTGAAACCTCCGCTTCAGTGACCTATGTGTGGGCTTTGTTGTAAACCCTATAAAAACTGTCTCAATTCTGTCCTGGAGGTCCTCAGTCCTATGACTGTGGACCCCAGTGCACTTGGAATAAAAATTCCTCATGCTATTTACATCGAGACTGCTTCTGGTGAGTGATTTGGGGTGTCGCCTTTCCTGTGTGGGAGCGTGAAGGTTCACGCTCTGTGGGTCTTTCAATAGATAGCTATGAGCTGCCATGTAAGTGCTGGGAATCCATTCCAGGTACTCTAGAAGAGACACATGTCTCCAGGCTCAGTTCTTAGACTTTTTTTAATGCTTGAGATTGTTGAGAAAAATTTATATGGCCCTAGGTATATAAAAATGGGTCTCCAAATCAAACATTTTCTCACAGTAAGTATAAATTTATTTTAAAATGATTATTTGGCATATTATAATCTTACCAATTATTTACAGGGAAAACCAAGTTACATACTAATGTGATAGGTGTGCCTATTTATTTTTGTGTTAGAAATTAAATCTTGGAGCCAGGGTTGGGT